GCTGGGTAAGTTACTAATATTATTTGTAATTAGTTGTAGTTTATCGTTGCTTAATTTTAGTGATTAATTGATTGGTGGAATGTGATGAATTGAATGGTGAAGGATAGAGGGGATTAGTGAGCAGCAGCTAGGTTGTTTGTTCTTCAATGGAGAAGGCAAAAAAGTTCATATTCTTATATAGATTGAATTGTTTTGTGCATGGTACTAAGAAGCGAGTACCGGCAGCAAGAGAAGTTGATAATTGGTTTTTGATGTCTAAACTTTGGTTGTGAACTTGTGATCCACTTTATTTTTATTTTGAAGTTTGAATTGAACTTTGAGTTTGTAATAGACATCAATGATGGTTGTGATTTTGTATTGGAACATGTTTGGATTGATTTTTGCTACTAATTGGTTGTCTACATTCCTGATAAAAAAAAAAACAGGTTGTCTACATTCTATGAAAATGGGTATATGTTGCTGAATTTTTTGCAACATGGTTAAAATGGGTCAAAACCGGATTGGGACCGAACCGGGTCAAAACCGGACTGTAAACAATCGAAGCTTTGGTCCCTATATTTTCAAAAAGACTGGACTGGACCGGATCAATTTGGGCCAATTTAAATGGACCGGACTGTATAGCCACCCTTAACGTGAACACACCTTACTTCGAGCTTAAGGCATGCAAATCCTGACCCCATTTCATTAGTTACGGATAATCAAAATATTCATTAAGAAATGAAAGTAAGCGATTTCCAAGAACCATTAGATCGTTCAAGTTAAGTTTGAGATTTGGTCCGGTTGGTGGCCATAAGCAAGGGTTTTAACCCTTGCTAAGCTGTAGCAAAAGTTCTGTCAACCTTTGGTTGAACCTTTGGCAAAACTACCCTTAATTACTATGTGTAGCAAGAATTTTAAGCAATCCTTTGTGGAAGTACACTGCAAAGGTTATAGCAGGGATTAAAATACTTGCTACACGTCTTTGTAAAATTCCGCAAAGAGATTTCTGTAACAAGGGTGGTTGCTACAACTAGCAAGGGTTAAAACCCTTGTTATAGGACAATATAGCAATAATTGCGAGTGTTATGTGACGGAAGTAAGAACATTTTGTGTCGAACTGAGCCGTCACTAGAGTTTGGTCACTATAAAACCCTTCCATACTTTGTGACCAAACTAGAACATTTTGCAATGAACCAAGTCGTACCTAAAAAGGTTGGATGAAATCCCATAATACATATATTTTAAAAAAAAATTCTCAAAATACACACGTTATAAAAAAATTCCCAAAATACACATGTTTGTGCATCACCGCTGTTCTCAACCGCGGTGAATGCATTCACCGCGGCAGACCAAAGGAGTGAATGCATCACCGCGGTTGACGGGCGCGGTGAATGTCTGACGTAACACTCAAACTTCAAACAAACGTAACTTTGCACTCGGTTATCCAATTGTAGCGAATTTTTATTTTATTCCATATAAATTTTCAAGATCTTTCAATCTGCAGAAAGACTTAATTTCAAAAAAATGTCGTTTGTTACCCCGAACGAGCAATTTTTCGATTTTTCCAAACTTTAGAAGATCATAACATTTAGCTCGTCAATCCGAACTTCGTAAAATTTTTTTGATTGCGCATAACTTTTTAAGAACTACAAATTTTACTAGGAAAGAATTTTTAAAAAGAGAAATCTTTTGGGTATACGGGATTTTGGCAATACCTTTGCCTTTACTTTTCACAAATCCACATACTTTCCAAACTTATGGTTATAATAAAAGTTGTAGTACTTCAAAAGTTATGCGAAATCAAAAAAAGTTTCATGACATTCGGATTGTGGAGCACAAAGTTATGGTCTTCCAAAGTTTGTCAAAATCTAAAAATTGCTCGTTCGGGGTAGCAAACGAATTTTTTTGGGATGAAGGCTTGTTGCAGATTGAAAGATCTTGAAAAGTTACGTGGAATAAAAAAACAATTCGCTACAATCGGATAACCGAGCGCAAAGTTACGTTTGTTTGAAGTTTCAGTTTTACGTCAGGCATTCACCGCGGTCGTCAACCGCAGTGATGCATTCACCGCTTTGGTCTGCCGCGGTGAATGCAATCACTGCGGTTGACAACAGCGGTGATGCCCAAACATGTGTATTTTGGGAAATTTTTTTATAACGTGTGTATTTTGGGAATTTTTTTTTTAAAAACATGTGTATTTTAGGATTTTTTCCAAAAAGTTTGTTAAAAAAAAACCCTTAGACATTGTTGCGTATACCCTTGTTACTATAGACAAATTCCTATTATACGATATACTCACCAATACTTTTATCATTCATACCCTGAATCATAACATGATATATGTTTCATCATCCAAAATAGTGTTGTTTACATGGCTAAATGCGGGTTGGATCCGGCCCTTAAGCCTCATTGTTTAAGGAGGTTCTTAAATCATTTTTATTGGCTGATACTAGATTAGGTAGTTAATGAGGGGTTAGTAGTTAATAGTTAGTTGGAATAAATAAGATATTATGAAAATATAATTAATATTACTCATTAATGATTCTCTTTCTCTCTCCCCCTTGATTTTCTCCATAACCCTCTCTCTCCACTACAATTAAAAGGAAATTCGAAATTAATTTAATTAAATATTATTATTTACTATTTAATAAATTCGAACTTAATATTTTTTATTTTTTAAAATGAAAATTAAAAATAAAAATATATGCTCTCTCTCACTTCGTGGCAATTTGCAATGACATTATCAACATTTATGAAATGAATCGTTATTATTATACATCATCATTATTAACGACTTCAATATACTTATCAATTCCTTATAATTACATTATTAACAATTTTGGATCAATTGTTACTGTTTTATAGTTTCGTCATCAACGCCTATGAATGAATCATTAAAGTTATGTAACATAGTCATTAATAGTTTGAACAACAATATCATTGATTTACAACATCTTTAGTACTAATGATTCACATTTTCACATCATGTTTATAACTATCTAGTCATGGCCTCTTCCAATGATTTCTAATGACATTATTAACGTTTTATAATCAATTAATATTGCTTTACATTATCATTCTCAATGATCATAAAGCACAATACCAATTTTCAACATCTTGGGTACTTGTGACATAGTGCACCTGTGTGATTCATTCAAACAAACATTGTCCAGAAAAATATTAGCTCAAGCAAACCAACATTCACGCCTCAACACAAAACTTTTAATGACAATACAATAAATCATTGATAATGAAAAGTATTTCGTTGAAAATAAACACAATACATCAATGTAAAAATGTACGACTTCAACATTATAAATGACATCAAACTTTTAATAAAGATATTAAAAACCATTAATATCGAATGATCAAGTCACTGATAAGGAAGTAGAATTTTGTAATATAAAAATATTAATAATATTCAAATACAATGTTTAATGTCAAATAGCACTAAAACGCATTAATAAGTAACATGTGTTTAATGGATAATGCATCCAAAAACTTTGATAATGATAGCAACTAATGATTGTTAAGTACCTTATTAGATATTATTAATATCTTATTTTCAAACATTGATGATGCTTATACACGCCTATTAATAATGACACCAAACTACGTTACTAACTTAGACTGAAAGATTAATAACCATAGTTATATCATTAAACGTAAATTCACTTTTGATAATGTCATAAACAAATGAATATCTAACAAGTATGCTTCTTGATAATGACATTTGACAAAGTTACAAACATAAACGAAAAAATATTAATAATTCAAATCACTAAACATAAGCAATCTTACAAATGAATTACATTTTTGCTTATGGTTGTATTGTGCTTGGAAAAAAATATTGATAGTAGCACTTCAAATGATTATAAATCATTGCGAACCAAATTGATAATACGATGTAATAGTAAATAAACTTCAAGTGCCAACAAATTGAAAACACAATTTCACTTTTACTAATGTTACAAACAAAACATAACATAAAAAGTTAATAATGTCATATAAAATTATTAAAAAACACGTCGAACAACATTAATATTAACACAAATGAATACCTAACAACGAAAAATCTCAAACCCATGCAATGAAAAGCCTTAATGATCATTCAATTTATAAATATTGATAATCATTACAAAAGGTTAATACATAATACTAATCAGAAGTTTCCAAGATGTGAGAGGGACATATATTTAAAATTTCCATTTTAGAAAAAGAAAATTATTAAATTCGAATTTTATTATATATTAAATAAAATTAATTTCATATTTCTTTTTAATTATAATGTAGAGAGAGGGTTATGGAGAAAATCATGGGAGGAGAGAGAAAGAGAATCATTAATTAATTATATTAATTTTAATTATATTTGCATAACCCTATTTACCCTTAACTATCTATTAACTACTAACCCCCATTAACTACCTAATCCACTATCAACCAATAGGAAGGCTTTAAGATTTTCCTTAAAAAATGAGGCTTAAGGACTTGAACTCAAGCCGGCTAAATGCAAAAACCATAAACGTTCAAATATAATGCAAAGAAACACGGTGTGCTCATAATATTTCAATCACTAAAAAGAATACGATTCAAAGCAACATCAGTAGATCACGATTCCAAATCCTTCAAATAAGAGCTTCATGATGGCGCGTGATAGATTCTCACGCGTCGTGAGAACGATAATCTACTTTACTTCTAATCCTAAATTACCACGAATACTACTAAACTGGTTTATTATTCATCGACGTCCCAAAACCAAAGAACAACGTACATATTTATAGAACTAGTCTACAACCCTTTCCCTCTCAAATAAGGTAAACTAATCCCAACCCAACAAGTAAACAGTAACTTACTCAACAAGACATAATAAACTAATAAGAATAATCATAATAACTTAACAATTAACTAATAATAATCCTAATTACTAAGCCTATACGCGACACCAAGGCCCATGGGTGCTATAATGCACCAAAAACCTCCCCCCCTTTGAAAAACTTCGTCCCCGAAGTTTAAGCGTCATCTCAACCCGGATCGATGAAGAAGAAGCTTCCACGTAGCTTGTGATGGACGATGACGAGGCTTGGACGACGACACCCATGCTTGCGATACTTCCAATTACGCTCCAGAACTCGGACATAGTCCACATCAGCAGCTCCTATGATTCCTGACTTCCCTGAAACCACATCTGATCCAATCATCCCATCAATTGTGCGCCCAATTGCCTCAACGACCATTTCACCTACTTCATGTCCATGCACACGAGAGCCCCACCAATATCCATTAGCAAATTTGTTCATGTTCTGCATGCCATTCTTCAAAAAGAAGATTTCATCCTTAATTTCACTTTCTTCCTTCTTCAAACCCCTCGTGATCAAAACTTGCACGGGAGGACTCTCATTCCATTGTAAAGAGTTTTCCTCTTGTTTCTTGTCCACTCTAGGTGTGCTGACCGAGACGATCGATGATGGTGGTGTGGTCATGGATGAAGTGACGAAATCGAGTTCGCTCCCGCCCGGATCGAACTGAAACGCAAACACACCTCTCATCCTGCATACATGTTTTCGCTGCTCATAGCTTTCCGTAGCTAGCGATCTTATTGGCTTGGAAGTTCGAGGAGACTTCGAGTCGACTACGTCGGCATCCAGGGCAGGATGGAGGGTATGACGCCTATGGATTTCAGTTGGGTCCGCCAAAACTTCACACCCAGCTAAGTACCCAAAATTTCTTTCAATTTTGGCAGTAGAAAGAGATGGCTCTATGGCGCGGTTCACGGTGATTGTGGTAGTTGGTTGTCCGGCTACTGATAGACCGTTAATTACACATGTTTTCACCCCTGTTCTTACACCGTTTGAGTTGTGGTTTCTTGTGTTTTAGACCGATTTCACGCTAGGTTGTGCTTGTTTGTGATATTTCAGGTCCTGGCAAGTGAATGAAGGTTTAGGAGCGAGTTCGGGGTCGATTGGGCGAATATCGGGCGCGAGGCAAGTCACAAAGGAAGTCGCACGGGCACACCCACAACTCACACGGCCGTGCAAGTGACCACTTTGGCCGTGTGAGATTGTGCGAGAGCAAAAACGGCTTGCCCTGATTTTCACACGGCCGTGTGAAGGAGTGGTTTGGCCGTGCGAGTTTCGCCGAGAGAAAACACGGGCAAATGGAAATCCCACACGCCCGTGCGACCCTGGCCGTGTGAGAAGCCTGAAGATCGAACTAATTGGAACGCAGCGTTTTGACTCGCACGGGCAACTGGGTATGCCACACGGCCGTGTGGCCCTGCCCGTGTGAGTCGGGAATTCCTGGTTTTAACCCAATTCCGGGCGCCAAGAGAGGGAGCGGACTTTTTGAGCAAAAATAGAGCCCTAGAGAGAGAAAGGACGAAGAACACATCCTAAAAGCTATCTTGGAGCTGGGGTTCATCAAATCAAGCTTGGAGATCGTCATAGGAGTGGAAATCATCATTCCAGAGCAGATTCTTCCCATAATTATGAGTATGACTGCTTTGTATCTTGTTTTCCTCTCTCTCTCTATGGAGTAGAACCCCTCTCTCACTTGGGGATGAAGAACCCTAGTTCTATGTGTTAGGGATTGATTGTAATGACTTGCGATGATATTACTGTTTGATTTTAATCGAATGATGCATGTTTATTGAGTCAATTGAAGTCTGATCAACTTTTCCTGATTCCTGCTGCAATATGAGATAGATAGAATCTGATTAGGTTGCTAGAGTCTCATCATTCGGTAGTAGAAGATTGGCTATACGAGAGTTAGCCAGTGTACTGCTTTGTACTGGAATCTAATTCCAGTGGTGGAGTTCTGTTCTTACTGCTTCAACTTTCTATCCCGGTGAAGACTAGTCGTCTGCCGGGTAGATAGACTGAGAGGGCTTGGTCAGCTTAAGAGATTCCAAGCTACTGTCGGATCTTCCGCAGTCTAATCAACAGTAAATCAACCCAGGGAAATACAATTGAAACCTAACTAAGGAGCTAGGGGGACTCATTCCCGAGTGACTCTTACCTGCTTGAGAAAACCGTATCAATTCCTGCTTTCTTTCTGCTTTTGCTTTTAAACAACAATCACTTACTTTAGTTGGCTAGATAATAGAGAATCACGGAGTAAGCAGTAGATCTAGACTCCGGGTTGATAATATAACTTGCCTGTTACTGCATTCCCGGTCTGCGATTACACTTGGTCGCAGATTGGTGTTGTGTTTTGGCGTGTCAGCTACGCTATCAATTTCGTCCCCAAACTCCCTACCTTCCTCGGTTGTACAAACCAACTCCGCTCGGATTTCAACGGCGACAACCGCATGCGAAACTCCAACATCAGCTTGTTCTCTCCTCTTCCTAAGCTTCCAGTTCGCCGCCTTAGGGTCTCGCTTGATTTGAATCTTTTCGGAATCGTGAGACTCTCTGATGGCTTCGAAACCTTGTCGTGTGGTTCTAGGGTTTTGCCAAGCTGCGATGGTGATGCGATGACCATCCGTGGTGGTCTTGGAGTGGACAGCAAGGTCGGCGCTGCTTTTGGGGTGATGGTTGGACCGATCGAGCGGAACCGATCAGCTTTGGTGGTTGCGTGAGGAACGGCTAATGGCGGCAGCGGTACGCTGAAGCAGGGTGCTGGCGGTGACATGGTGGTGAGGGCAGCGGATGCGGTTGTCCTCTCACAGGCCGTCACGATCCTTCCGCAACAAGACAGGGCGCTTTCGGTCAGTCGGATTAGCCGATTGAGGTCATCCCTGGAGAGCCATTCGGTGTTCATCGCCTCGTAACCAGGCTCTGATACCAATTGGCGCGTGATAGATTCTCACGCGTCGTGAGAACGATAATCTACTTTACTTCTACTCCTAAATTACCACGAATACTACTAAACTGGTTTATTATTCATCGACGTCCCAAAACCAAAGAACAACGTACATATTTATAGAACTACTCTACAACCCTTTCCCTCTCAAATAAGGTAAACTAATCCCAACCCAACAAGTAAACAATAACTTACTCAACAAGACATAATAAACTAATAAGAATAATCATAATAACTTAACAATTAACTAATAATAATCCTAATTACTAAGCCTATACACGACACCAAGGCCCATTGGTGTTGTGTTTTGGCGTGTCAAGTTTTTGGCGCCGTTGCCGGGGACCCTCTAGGTTATTGGGGAAACGTGAGAATTTGTTACTCTAGCTTTTTCTTTATTGCATTTTATCTCTTCCACCTGTGTGCCTTCACGGGTTGCTTCTGCTGATTGTGTGCAGGTAGTGCATGACCCGTAGCCAGTCGGGAGATCTACTACCACTAGACCAGGAGCTTGAACGAACCTGCAGAAACTTCAAGCGGGCTCTAAAGGCGCGACTGGCTACGGAGGAGGTGCTAGCACAGCTACAGATCACTGAAGAAGAGGAGATGGCTGATCCACAGGGCCATGCTGTGGTCGATCCCGAGGAGCAGACCATGGGACATTACTGGACTGCCAGGGCTGCAGACATGAGGTCACCCATTCAACACCCTCATGTCCCAGCCAATAATTTTGAGGTGAGCACCTCAGTAATCACCATGCTGCGCGGTTCGGTGATGTTCCGTGGCAAAGAGGGGGAGTGCCCCCGATCATATCTCAGGCGATTCCACGAGCTCATTGATGGAATCAAGATCAATGGGGTACCAACAGATGCCATCCAGCTGAGGTACTTCCCATTTACTCTGGAGGGGCAAGCCAAGGAGTGGCTAGACACTCGACCTCCGGGCTCCATCACCACGTTCGCCAACCTGGCGGACAAGTTTCTCACCCGCTACCATCCTCCGTCCAAGACGGCGGACTTGTAGAAGCAGATCACCCACTTCACCCAGGATGAAGATGAGACCATCCGGGATGCTTGGGAGAGATACAACAGTCTCTTCCTGAGGTGTCCCAATCATGGTTTCAACAATGCTTTCAAGGTGGGAACCTTCTATCATGCCCTCTTCCCAGAAGATAAGCAGCTGATTGACTCAGTTTGTGGTAGAAACATGCTGACCAAAACACCGCCACAGCTGAATCAACTCTTTGAGGAGATGGCGGAGAACGGGTACGATTGGGGCACTGCCAGGAGATCGAGACGAGCACCAGGACGGGGTGTGCATGCTGTGGGCACCCAGTCATCTGACTTGGTGCAGGTGGTATCAAAGCTGGTTTCAGCTATCGATCGTTCTGGTTTGATTGCAGGTACCGGACAGCAGCAGGCTATGCTCTGCCAGTGGTGCGAGAGCACCCATCATACAGTGGAAGACTGCCAGGCGATGAAGGAATCGACCACGCCCCAGGAGCAGGTGAACTTCATCAACAATGTCAGGCGCAATGACCCCTACAGTAACACCTACAATGAGGGGTGGCGCCAGCATCCCAACTTCTCTGGGGTGGGGCAAATTCCAGACCACCAGTCCCCCAGGGACCACCGGGCTTCCAGAGGCCACCATATCAGCCCAGACAGGGGCAATTCCAGCAACAGCAGTCTCTCTACCAGCCCATGCAGGGGCATGCTACTCCATCACAGCCGCGACCTTTCCAGCAGCCAGGTGCAGCCCCTGCCGCCCCAGTGCAGAATGATCAGATGGCTGAACTGCGGGAATTGGTGGGTTCTCTCGCCAGTTCTAGTGCTAAAAAATTTAACACCATCGAGCAGTTCATGGAAAAGGCATCGGGTAAATTCCTGGCTCTTGAAGCTGGCCAGAGGAACACACAGGCTGTCTTGCATGATATCCAAACCCAGCTGGGGAGTGTGGCTCAAGTAGTGGCACAAAGGGCTCCTAGTACTCTACCCGGTCAGACCATCCCTCATCCTTAAAACCCAAATGAGCACTGCAATGCCATCATGACCAGGAGTGGCAAGATGATTGTTGCTCCACCTGCTCGGGCACAAGAGAGAGAGGCCCCTGCCTCGGCATCTCCAGCAGCTGAAGACGAAGCAGAGAAGGAGGTTGAGGTGCCTGTACCTGCACCGCAACCAGTAGTGAAGGAGTATATCCCTAAACTCCCCTTCCCTACTCGGTTGCACAAAGACAGGCTGGAGGCAGAGTTCGAGAACTTCATGGCCATGCTTAGGAAGCTGAATGTCCAAGTACCTTTCCTGGAGGCACTATCTCAAATGCCTAAGTATGCGAAGTTCCTGAAGGATCTTCTCTCAAAGAAGCACAAGCTGAGCGAGCTGGCCACTGTGGAGCTCAGCGAGGAGTGCTCGGCCATTCTGCAGAACAAGCTTCTGCAGAAACAGAAGGACCCAGGTAGTTTTACTATCCCGTGCTCTATAGAAAATTTGCATGTAGAGAGGTCCTTGGCGGATTTAGGTGCTAGTATCAATGTTATGCCATATAAACTGTTTAAGAAACTAGGCCTAGGTGAACCCCGTGCTACTAGGATGAGCCTTCAATTAGCTGACCGATCTGTAGTGCATCCTAGGGGCATAGTGGAAGACCTTCTGGTTAAGGTTGGCAAATTCAATTATCCTGTTGATTTTGTGATTTTGGATATAAATGAGGATGTGGATGTGCCATTGATACTAGGAAGGCCTTTCCTGGCCACCGCCAAGGCCCTCATAGATGTGCATGATGGGACCTTAGTTTTGAGGGATGGTGAGGAGCGAATAGCGTTTTCAATTTCTAATTCTCGTCCTGCTTCGTCACCTCTGCATGCTATATCTCACTAGGAGCACGAGTCTGTCGTGTATCCTTCTGTGTTTCCTATTTTGCAGGATCCACCTCCCATACCTTCGCCGCCACTCCCGTCCACTCCATCATCGAAGGAACAAATCAGGGAGGAGTGGCGGCCGAAACAGCAGGCAGCTAAACCTGCTCGAAAGAAGGCCGAAGACCACTATGAGCTGGTCCCGCCCCCACCTTGGCCATCCGAGTATTCACTCGCTTGCATCCTGCCGGATGGCCAAGTTGAGTTGGCAAATGCTGGCGGCCACATTCGGCGTGTGCATGGCCATCATTTGAAGTTGTACCTCAAGAGCGAGGTGGATCCGCTCTTGAAGGCACATGCTCCTTCACCTCACTGAGCATCCACCGACTGGCGTCCAGCTAAAAGACGGTAAAGAAGCGCTTGTGGGGAGGCAACCCCACCTAGGTTTGCATTTTCTTACCTTTTTCTTTTTGATTTTTTGTGTTTTTTTTTAGTCTTGAGGGGTTGTTCACGAGTTGTATGTCGTTCTGGAGTGAAAACAGGTCATTTTTGGAGTTCTGGCAGCTCACACGGCCAGCCCTAAATGTCACAAGGCCGTGTGGAAAATAATTTTGGCCGTGTGAGCTATCGCAGAATTCCACACGGCCAGATGAGATGTTGGCACGGCCGTGTGGAAATTTGCTCTGGCCGTGTTTGCTCTCGCATATTTTGGCACGGCCAAATGAGCACTCGGCACGGCCGAGTGAAATTCCTCGGCCAGACACGGGCAAAAGTGCTCTTGACACGGCCGTGTGAGCCAAGCCGTGTGGCCGAGCCACGGGTTATAAATTCGGCGTTCATGGACGACATCGACCTGGATAACCTCGGCGACGAGTAGGCTGTACTCGTTGCCCATCTCAGTGTGTTTTGTTTTTCGTTTTAGACTTGTGTGTGTTTGCTCCATGTGTGAGGAGCTTGAACTTAGTGTCGTTTATTTTTGTTTCTGTTTTTTTTTCTTTTGTGGATTGTTTTGCTGTAGCCGTCTGGGCTAACACTTATCCCTAACACAACGTGTGCTAGTGTGTTCTTGGTGTTCGATTCGTGCAGAACTGTCCATCTTCCCGTTTGTTTCTCGCTGACTGGTCCACTTCTAGTCCGCCAGCAGTTTCAATCCGGTAACATCGTTCCCCTTCTCTATTCCTCTGCTCCATTGAGGGCAATGTCGTGCTTAAGTGTGGGGGGGTGCTTTGTATCGGTTGGAATGTATATATGTGTGCTTGGAGCCTAGTCCACTGTCCAAATCTTGAGATTTGAGGGCTCCAAGTACTGCTGTTTGATCATATTGGCACTGTGTTTTGATTGATGAATTGAATGGTTTTCGGATTGATGCATGACAGCTTGATTGTGACTAGGACAACCTATGATGATGACTAAGACATGCAGTAGAGTTGTGTAGGGGTTCAGTTTTTCAACTGTTTGCTTACCAACTGTGACTTGGAGTGATTACTTGTTCTTGACAGTCGTTTATGCATATAGTTCAGGGTATCAGAATGTGAGATAGAGCATATAGGTAGCCATGTGAGATTTGAGCCTGCTCGTTTCTTTCTTGTGCGATAGATCCTTCTTCCATGATGTGTAGCATTCACGTTGTCACTAGCTAAGATGATGGGGGCATAGGATTAGCCCACGACCAAATTTGACTGTCCTGATGTGTCATATCCCCTAGTCAGCCCTTTTGAGCCGTGTGTTATCCTTTCTTTTGGTCTGAAATGAAAAAAATCACCCTGTTTGCATCTTTTAGAAGGTTCCACAGAGTGGGTTTTACATGTTCTCTGCTGTTTCTGCTAAATTTAATGTGAGTGTTGGAGGTAGTGCTTAAAAGTTGGGCTGGGCAGGTGTTTGAAATATATGCAGAAGTGGTGGCCCTCTTAAGAAATGAAAAGAAAATGAAAGAAAAACAAAGAAAAATTGGAAGCAAAAGAGAGCCACTACCAAAAATCTGAATAATGCCCAGTAAGTAGTGTTTCTTAGCAGTCTGGCTTGGAAATGCTGACATTTATACCTCTTTCGCTCTTGTGCTCTTGAGATATTGAGTAATGCAGAATAGCAGAAAGGAAATACCGGTTTGTTTGACTGTGATTGTTTGGGTTTGGAAATGTGCAACCTTGTGCTATGAATACTTCCACCACCTAAAAGGCCTTTTCCCCATGTCCAAGACCCTAGCTAGTCATTTGAACCTGTGTCTAAGACCTCCTGATTAGTTAGTGGTGACACCCCATATGTGAACTCTAGCGTTTAGAGGCTGCCATCATGGTGAAGAGATGTTAGGGATTGAGAGAAATAACATGCGCATTTTTTGCATCAAATTGTCCTGACCCCACTGGTCGAGAGTGAGTGATTCATTTTCATATTCTATATACTCTTGTACCCCGGTGAGGACCTAGATTGCTCGGTCTCTATTCTGATGTCTTGAGTTGGATGCATGAGTTGACTGTTTTGAGTAAGTGGTTGAGTCAAGTCTAGGTTGGTTGGTGAACAGAAGGGAGACTCTTCCTTTACTCGATTTTGCTGCACTCGAATGTCCTTTGTGGTGGTTGTCCAGGTTGCTATTGAAGTTGGTCAGGTATTGATGTTTGAAAACCAGTATGATTCACGTGTTCTGTGCCTTTATGACTTGTCCCCAATGTTGGTTGATTGAAATATGTAAGCTTACCTTGTGTCTGACTTGGTTTGCTTGGGGACAAGCAAACGGTTAAGTGTGGGGGAGTTTGATAGACCGTTAATTACACATGTTTTCACCCCTGTTCTTACACCGTTTGAGTTGTGGTTTCTCGTGTTTTAGACCGATTTCACGCTAGGTTGTGCTTGTTTGTGATATTTCAGGTCCTGGCAAGTGAATGAAGGTTTAGGAGCGAGTTCGGGGTCGATTGGGCGAATATCGGGCGCGAGGCAAGTCACAAAGGAAGTCGCACGGGCACACCCACAACTCACACGGCCGTGCAAGTGACCACTTTGGCCGTGTGAGATTGTGCGAGAGCAAACACGGCTTGCCCTGATTTTCACACGCCCGTGTGAATGAGTGGTTTGGCCGTGCGAGTTTCGCCGAGAGCAAACACGGGCAGATGGAAATCCCACACGGCCGTGCGACCCTGGCCGTGTGAGAAGCCTGAAGATCGAACTAATTGGAACGTAGCGTTTTGACTCACACGGGCAACTGGGTATGCCACACGGCCGTGTGGCCCTGCCCGTGTGAGTCGGGAATTCCTGGTTTTAACCCAATTCCGGGCTGCAAGAGAGGGAAGCGGACTTTTTGAGCAAAAACAGAGCCCTAGAGAGAGAAAGGAAGAAGAACACATCCTAGAAGCTATCTTGGAGCTGGGGTTCATCAAATCAAGCTTGGAGATCGTCATAGGAGTGGAAATCATCATCCCAGAGCAGATTCTTCCCATAATTATGAGTATGTCTGCTTTGTATCTTGTTTTCCTCTCTCTCTATGGAGTAGAACCCCTCTCTCACTTGGGGATGAAGAACCCTAGTTCTATGTGTTAGGGATTGATTGTAATGACTTGGGATGATATTACTGTCTGATTTTAATCGAATGATGCATGTTTATTGAGTCAATTGAAGTCTGATCAACTTTTCCTGATTCCTGTTGCAATCTGAGATAGATAGAATCTGATTAGGTTGCTAGAGTCTCATCATTCGGTAGTAGGAGATTGGCTATACGAGAGTTAGCCAGTGTACTGCTTTGTACTGGAATCTAATTCCAGTGGTGGAGTTCTGTTCTTACTGCTTCAGCTTTCTATCTCGGTGAAGACTAGTCGTCTGCCGGGTAGATAGACTAAGAGGGCTTGGTCAGCTTAAGAGATTCCAAGCTACTGTCGGATCTTCCGCAGTCTAATCAACAGTAAATCAACCCAGGGAAATACAATTGAAACCTAACTAAGGAGCTAGGGGGACTCATTCCCGAGTGACTCTTACCTGCTTGAGAAAACCGTATCAATTCCTGCTTTCTTTCTGCTTTTGCTTTTAAACAACAATCACTTACTTTAGTTGGCTAGATAATAGAGAATCACGGAGTAAGAAGTAGATCTAGACCGCGGGTTGATAATATAACTTGCCTGTTACTGCATTCCCGGTCTGCGATTACACTTGGTCGCAGATTGGTGTTGTGTTTCGGCGTGTCAGCTACGCTATCAATTTCGTCCCCAAACTCCCTACCTTCCTGGGTTGTACAAACCAAATCCGCTCGGACTTCAACGGCGACAACCGCATGCGAAACTCCAACATCAGCTTGTTCTCTCCTCTTCCTAAGTTTCCAGTTCGCCGCCTTAGGGTCTCGCTTGATTCGTAATCTTTTCGGAATCGTGAGACTCTCTGGTGGCTTCGAAACCTTGTCGTGTTGTTCTAGGGTTTTTCCAAGCTGCGATGGTGGTGCGATGACCATCCGTGGTGGTCTTGGAGTGGAAAGCAAGGTCGGCGCTGCTTTTGGCGTGATGGTTGGACCGATCGAGCGGAACCGATCAGCTTTTGTGGTGGCGTGAGGAACGGCTAATGGCGGCAGCGGTACGCTGAAGCTGGGTGCTGGCGGTGACGTGGTGGTGAGGGCAGCGGATGCGGTTGTTCTCTCACAGGCCGTCACGATCCTTCCGCAACAAGACAGGGCGCTTTCGGTCAGTCGGATTAGCCGATTGAGGTCATCCCTGGAGAGCCATTCGGTGTTCATCGCCTCGTAACCAGGCTCTGATACCAATTGGCGCGTGATAGATTCTCACGCGTCGTGAGAACCATAATCTACTTTACTTCTACTCCTAAATTACCACGAATACTACTAAACTGGTTTATTATTCATCGACGTCCCAAAACCAAAGAACAACGTACATATTTATAGAACTACTCTATAACCCTTTCCCTCTCAAATAAGGTAAACTAATCCCAACCCAACAAGTAAACAGTAACTTACTCAACAAGACATAATAAACTAATAAGAATAATCATAATAACTTAACAATTAACTAATAATAATCCTAATTACTAAGCCTATACGCGACACCAAGGCCCATAGGTGCTATAATGCACCACATGACATCATTTCACAAAATTTGAGGACCCAAATTTGGAATAGGAGTACATCATGATGGTAATAAGGTTAAGGGCTAATACCACTAGAAACCCAAACTATTAATTTTGTGTCATTTGCGTCCTAAAGTATTCTATATGACATTTGTGTCCTAAACTATTTTTCTGTTAGAGTTTACTGGCGTTGACCGTTAGTTTTTAACAGAAAGTCTAGTCAGCGCTTATGTGGCATCTGACGTGGAATTTAGAATATTAATTTATAATTATTTTTCAATATGACATTTTTAATATTAATTTTTTTATTTTTCATCTTAAATTATTAAAAGAAAATAAAAAAATAAAAAAATCCCCAAATCAACTCCGTCGATTCCACTCCTAAACCTCCGTTGCACTTCTCCTCTGCCGCCGCAGTCTTGCCCTTCTACGCTTTTCCGATCAATGAAACAAAATTCCAGGCTACTGCTACTGCTTTGCCCTGAGTCCACTTGCAGAAGGATCTGCTCCCCCTATGCTCTCCAGCCGTCCCCACCAGACACCCTCCTTCTCCTACCTCTGAGCATCGCAATTTTAGGGAAAATACCCACTCGTCTCTTACTCTTCCGACAGCTGAGGAGTGGGTACGGGGCTTTCTATTCAGTAAACGCATATGGTGACGCGCAGCGGCTATGCAGATGAGCACGAAGGCGCGGCGGCTGGAGATGTGCCAAGATTCATCGCCTTCACTGTAACAAACTTCGACGAAACTGCCGCCCTCTCGCCCATTTTGTCGATTTCTTCCTTGAAACACTTCGATTCTGGTAGAATTTGGCTCCCTCTCTCAGTTCCACGCTCTGTAGGAGGGGTCGCACTGGTCGGCGATTGATTGTTGTCATCGTTCTCCAGATCTGCTCCAAACCTCTCAATCTCTCTGTCATCATCGTTGGGTCTCGCCGAGCAACAAGGGGATTGCGACGGAAGTCGCTTGTGTTCGGTGATAGAGGGGAAGTCGCCCGCCGGCTCCAAATATACGCTCCCAGGTTTGTATTGTAGTGGAAGAGTCGGAATTGACACTGGGATTCAAATCAAATTGAAGGGTCGTAAGATTGTTGATTTCGTCTGCGAGAGTTCATTGAATCAGACTAGGGATTGAATTTTAGTTGTGAAATTTTGGCCTCGATTGACTTGAATTGAAAGTTTGATTTTACCTATTTTGTTCTTCGACTCCGAACGGCGTCGGCGGCGATGAAGAAGTTCCGAACAACAACAACGAGGGGTCTTCTTCCTCTGCGACGTCGTCGTATTCAATGGTTGTGCCCAAACCGATGGAGGGACTGAACGAATCTGGTCCTCTTCATTTCCTGAAGAAGACTCACGTCGATTGGAGCTGGGAGCTCTGTCGGAGAAGAAGAAGTCGACGAGAAGGAAGGGATTCATGTCGATTGGAGCTAGAGCTCTGCCGGAGAAGAAGAAGAAGTCGACGAGAAGGAAGGGATTCACGTCGATTGGAGCTGGAGCTTTGCCGAAACAGATTTTCTATTTTAAGTTTTCTTTGTATTTTGTATTTTAATTGTTAATTTTAATTTAAAAATAATAACCTGATGTGGCAGCTGACGTGGCGCATACATGGCCGCCACATATGTGCCATGTAACAAACAGTCAACATTTTATGGTTGACCGTTTAGTCAACCGTTATCTACAACGGTGAACAAAATTGTTAGGACGTAAATGATACAAAACTACCAAACGTTGGGACACAATTGTCATATCGAATACTTTAGGACACAAATAACACAAAGTTAATAGTTCGGGTTTTCCAGTGGTATTATCCCTAAGGTTAATCATTTAGCCAACAGATTCCAAGATCATGAAACCACCAGATCCAATGAGTGGTAGTCGGCGTCCAACGGAAGTCTCCTCTTCACCGAATAACAAGCGTGAGAGGGAGACGATTCAGCCAAAGAAGAAATTCCGACCTCTGAATTTCGATACCATAGACACGGCTAGAGACGACAGTATGACTGATGAGATGGAAGAGGAATCAAACCAACCACCGAGAACGATAGGGACTGGCCAACATGGAGCTAGGCATGGTCAGAGGGATATCGTAGACTTTTTAGTGAGGTTGTGCAGCAAGAGAGCTGATATGTAGCTGATTCCGACTCGGAAGATGTGGCACAGGCTGAAAGAGAGGAGGATGACATTACAGATGGGATGGAGAATGACCCGCGCTGCCCGACAATTCCGTTTACGGCGGCAGAGAAGATAAGATGGAGGAGGGATCGGAGTAGAGATCTGCCCTTGTAGTGAAAGGGCTAGGGCGGAGAGTTTCGTACTTTCCTCTTGCTAGAAGATTGAATTATCTCTGGGCGAGGCATGGTGATTTGCAAAATTCGGATATTAAAAATGGCTGTTTCCTCGTTCAGTTTTGTAGACAAGAAGACTATGACATAGCAGTTAACGGTGGACCATGGCTATTGGGGGACACTTATCTGACAGTTATCCTGTGGTACAAGGGTTTCAAACCATGGAAATCAACAGTGAAATCAACGTTGGTATGGGTTCAGCCACCTGACCTCCCAATAGAGTTCATAAATAAGGAGGCGACTATGAAGATAGGAGCGGTCATTAGAAAACCTGTTTGGGTTGATAGAGCAACCGAAATGGGGGCGCGTGCTTTTCTCCGTGCTTTTCTGTTTCTAAGAAGTAGAGGAATCCCCCAAGAATTGGATTGAAGATGCCAAAAACAATATCTTAATATCTATGTTAATTCTCTTTACTTTCGTTGCTTCTCATTTTTGCTTTTACTTTGTTTCCCCGTTCTCTGTTTTTCTGAGTTTTTAGACTAAGCACAAAGATAAATAGGTGAGCCTTGTGCTATATATATATTTTTTTTTGACAACTTGATTTCATTAAGAAATAGGGGAAGTGATACAGAGTTTGGACTAAGTTCAGGAAGGAAAGAGAGCATAGCCCAAAGAAAAATGAAGAGCCCAAAAAGAAAAATAGCAACCGAAAAACCGAACAAAAGAAAGGAAAAAATATCCACGACCCAAACAAAGGGAAAACCCAACAACACCAGCTCAAAGCACCAACACACGGGGAAAAAGCCCACAACCCAACCAAAAGTAAAAGAACAAAAAACACACATGGGCTCAACATCTAACCCTAGCCCACAGCCGCCTAGCATCACCAATCCGCCATCCTCCACCCTGTTTCTGCCACTGCCGCTGCCGCCACCAACCATCCCAAAGCCACAACCAGAACACCCAACACACACCACTTCGAAAACCAAACCACCACCGCAACCACCAACTCCAAACGAACCAAACACACCAAGGAACACGATGAGGCAGCAAAAGAGAGACAAAAGACCAAGCCAATCACATGCCAAAGCCGCCACACACCCACACCTGCCAACAACGCCATGAAAACACCACCCACGCATCCGTCGCAGCCAGGAAGAGAACAAGGGAAGCAAGACCAGCAAAAGATAGACACCATCCCTACATCCACACCATGAGACAATAGAATCACAGGCAGCAAGCCTAAACCACCGAATCACTACGCCATTCTGAGTGAAGCAAGGAGGAAGGCTCCAGGAGTCAAGAATGAGGATGTAGATTGCAAAGCAATCCCTTCTGTCCACAAGAGCCGACTTCAAGATCTTTTCACACATCTGAAGTGTGGAGAAAAAACCATCTCAGAAGAGGGGTTTTTGGAAAATTCCACAAGGGAATGAAGCAAAGATGGAAATGGAATAATCCACAAAGGGATTGGCCAAACGAAAGCAGAAAAAATGGAAATCGCAAGGAAAAGAGAGGGTTGGGTCGCCGCCGGTCACCAATGGTAAACCGGCGGCACCCCCAATGGAAGCTGGAAGAGGAAACTAGAGAGAAGTCAGAGGCTTTTGAAAATTAGAGAGAGAAAGTTGAGAGAGTTGCACCCTTAATCTTTCATAGTTTCAGACTCTCATGTCCCTTGTGCTATATTGATGTATTGTTTTTTACTCAATGTTAGTTCACACTTGGTGTTATTAGGTTGCCATAACTGTTACTCTTACTGACTCTTTTCTCATATGAACAGGGTGCAACTAGTGCTCCTGGTCAATCTTCGGGTTCTTGGCTTCGTGATATGATGTCGTTGTGAATGTCTTATATAAAGAATTTTGGATCATGATCTTCTTTGAATTATGTTTGAATGTTTTTGGTAATTAACCTGTAGCCATGTAAATAATATTATTTTTTTTATCACGAATGATACTATGTTTGTGAATGAAGAAGTATTGACGGGTAAGGTGCATGGAATGATCTGGTTATTATTGAAAATCTTGGTATTTGGTTCAGGGTTGTCTATAGTGACTAAAGCATTCGCAACTAAACTTATCTTCCAATTTTGGTGCTCCTTTCCCTTTAGCAACCACTATTTAACGACGGTTAACAATTGGTTGCGAACTGTTCGCGAGCTATGTAAGACCCGTAGCAAGGGTTTTATCCCTAGGCAGTGTTTGCAACGTATTTATCCAAGGGTTTTATCTCTACTAAAATTTACACAATGTTTTGTTGGAAATGTATATATGAATAGCTTTGAAAGCTATAGAGTCTCAAGTGGAAAAACTACCACATTGGTAGTTTTACTTGGTGAAATGTGTATAACGATAGGAGCCTCTCTCCGAAGGGCATGCGCCTTGGGGTGACCCACTTTTGTTGGAGAGGGAGGACCTAACGGACCACCACACACACGCGCGCGCGCCGTGCGGTCGGTCGGTTGGTTGGTTCACTTGAGATTTATATATATTTTTTGGAGAAATTCCGAACAAAATTAATTATCTAATTATTAATTATTAATCTATTATTCTGAGGAATATTCTAAGGATAATCGATTAAAAAGGACTATTCGGAGGATAATCCCGCGAGATTTATCTTAATCGACTGTTTTAATTAAGGAAGTAATTATCTTCCTTAATAATCCGACTTATTCCCCAAGCAAGAGGGTATATTCCTAGGGGTTCGGCTCCTATAAATAGCCGCCTCCCCAACCCCTCTAAACACACCTCTGAGAGCAGAAACACGAGAGAGAGTGAGATTCAAAGAGCTCCGGTTTTCCGCACAAAACCGCTGAGCAAATCAAAAGAGTGGTTGTTTTATCCTGGAGGCGACCGCCTGATAGTCTGCTGTGCGAATTATGAGGCAGTGCCGCGAACGTCTTAAAGAGAGGGACCTAGTCTGCGACTCAGCCAGATCGGTAACCCT